CTGGAGGAATATAAATTTTGAGTACTAAAAATTTCCTATACACAGCTAAAGTTAAATATGCACATTTTATGATACCTACATTAATGCATAAACACCCATATGGTCTGAACATTAATAATCTGCAATTAAATTTATCCTACATGCTTCTCATCAAATTCAAGAGTTCAATCTACCAACTTATTGACATTTTGCTAATACTTCAAAATACATTGGCAGAATGGATTACCACACATGAACACCAAGTACATGTACACTTACAGGTAAGTAGCAGAAACAAATCCTTGAAATTATGCTATGCTACAGGTACTGTACTTTCAAATTAAAAAGCTGAAATCACTGAGACATATTAACCCTAACCCTCCTCAATCCTTCACCTGTTGGAGGACTGAGGAGTGTTAGGGTTAATATTTGAATCCTTGAAAAAAATCTGAAATACAGGCTTTTGCACGACTAAAACTCAACTTAAAATTACATGATATCAAAACTTAAAAACAATTTACCTTTTAATTTCTCCATTTAGGCTATCAACCTTTCTGTGTAATTCGTCAGACTGTACTTTCATTAATTTAACCTCAGGGAGGTCTTCCAGAATTACCCCTCTCCTCAACACACCATTCATAGGATCACCTGCAGATGGCGTGTTCAATGTAGGTGAAATTTATAAATTGGGCATAAAACAGATGAAAAGAAGGAAAAAAACACTTTTGCATTTCTCATTATCTTTTGTATCCCAATTGGTGCCAGGAAATATCAGTGTTTTGATTCAAATGAAAACCCTCGAGACCATAGATCTATGAAAGTTACATTTTACATTGGAAGGAAACCTTAGGTTAGGGGTTTGACATGACAGAGTGACAGAGTTTCTTTCAGGACTGAAATATCTGCCTGTCCCTCCCTCCCAGCCCAGGTTAAAACCTGTCTGTACACTCTCTCAGGAAAATTTTGGAAACTGACCACCCCTCATTGCTACATGTACATGTATGTATTTATGTATTTGAGGCTATGTTTACACTGCACCCAGTAATTTGGAAGGAAATGTAAAGACTTGTTCACTAGTGTTAAAGATTTCACGTAAAACGGGGGGCTTGTAAATTTTGAATGAGCAAAAAACAGCCTGTCCAAATTTGTTTTTGCACAGGTGGATAGATGATTAGATGAGACACTGCAAAGGTACATGTAATGAACATCATTTGAATACTACATGTACTTTACCTTCATCCAATTTTTGTGGTAGAAAGAATTCATCCAGTTCAGCATCCAACTCTGACAGCAAATCATCATCCTGCTCCAGAGATGTCTTGGCTAATTGTATGGATGAAGATTCAGTTCTGGAGTCCTTTTGAACAACACAAGTTGAATTCGCCACTTCAGTCTTTCTAGCCTCATTTTTATTTCCTGTTTGTATACTATCCCGTATTTCAGCATTTGAATGTAGTACAAGTTGAGATGTCTTTCCTAAACTGGCTGAATCTCCAGTGTTAAGAGGCCTTGAATGTGATTCACTGGTCTTTTTGACAGTTTGATTCCTCTGAAACTTTTCACTGACATCTTGTGATATTGACAATAACAAAGCTTCAGGAGAATTATAATCTGCAATTTTAGACATACTAGAATTTGATGAGGCTTTTGTGCTTGACGCAGATTTGTTGTCATGTGCATTGACTGAACCTGTAGCAGTCCCCTCAGCTGAGTCAAGTGAAAGTGGTTCCAACATCTGAACCTCTTCCTGAGGTCTTAATTGTTGACTTGGTTGGTTTTCATCACATGGGATGTTTGTAGTTCTAATATTATCAGGGCCAAGGATTGCATTATCAGAAATGAAATCACCTCCACAGGTTGTACCTGACTGCACTACTATGTCAAGAGGTTCTTCAACATTGTCTTCAACTGTGGATTCAGCTGGACCAGAGTTATCACTGGAAATTATCTTGTGATTTAAACCGTCTTCCTGCTGTACAAGGTCAGTGCATTTTGAAGATATCAGTTTCATTCCATTGGTGTTACCATGGTTACTGTCTCCTAGGGAAGAATCTTCCTGATGCTCTACACCATCTTCAACCTTCTTGTCACCATTTGCATCTTTCAAAGATTCCCCTGTTCCTCTAAGACTGACGTTCTCTCTTTCTTCCTTCTTCGTTTCTCTATCACCTTGTTCTTGTGTTAGGATTCCTTGTGGGTCATCTTTTGTGTGTGATACTGACTCAATGACTGGAGCTGATGCAGAGTCTCCTCCGCCTTCCATCTATGAACATTATAGGCACATGTGTCATCAGATATAGTGTAGCCATGCACATTTTATTAGTGAGTTGGGGGAGGGAAAGATACACCTGTATATGTGTCTGTAATATGCTGTTATCATTTGCCTACATATCCTGCAATGTGGGACAGTATTTCTTTACGCGTAGAATGCGTGACCCAAATGATTATGCATTATGTATGTTATGCTTATCACATGAGCTTTTCTATTAAACAGAAGGGTCCGTGGGAAATTCAAAATGTCGAGGCTATATTAACAGCATAAAATATCACAGAGAAAGGAAAACATTAAAGGAACCAGGAAATTAAAATACTTTTATAAATTTTACTAAAAACCCTTGAAATTGCATAGATGGTTTCAATTAACCTCATTTTAAATTTTCGTTTTGCAATTTTAACCCATATTTTGATGCTTTTTTGGTTTTTAGGCTTATGCATATTTGCATATTCATAAGCAAAACTATGATGTAATCCAAGGCACTGAATCTCAATGTTGCACTGATCTGTGCACAAAAAATTTCTAGATTTTTTAACCACTGCTATGGCAAATTTTATTTTCTTTGGCAATTTTGCTTGTTGCCACATACTTTGGCAAGTATGTGGCAATAATCCAGCAAAAATCCTTTTCACAGAAATGTTCCCAGATAGCAAATTTGGGGCTCACAATTTTAATACGAAAACATGCAACCTGAACCACGTCTTCCTACATGTAGAATTACATCAAAGTAAAAGCGCCCTCACTTGTCCAGAAATGCTTGGTCAATTTTTAATGTTTGAAAAAGTGCACCGTTCAGTTCACGTAACTCAAAAAAGATGTCAAACAGTCTTCATACATGGAATATGAGTACAGAGATACACAAAAGTGATTGTAAGAAATATTCATTTCCTGGTTCCTTTCAGCTGCCATGGCCTGTATGTAACTGATATTAACAGGTGATTCTATGGCAATGAAAACCACAGAATTTTCTCTGTGCATTTATCACAGATACATGAACTCAAAGCTCAATATCTGCGATGAATTCCATTAAAATGATATTGCAGGACTACAACTACACGCCTCCATGCACCATGTGCAAAGGTAGAATGCCTACATCATGTACAGTACATGACTTTATTACATGCATGTTGCATGTGCTAAATGTTCACAGTGACTCCTAAACAGTGCCTTTCGTTTACTCCTCCATTGATACTGAGCCCTGACTTGGAATACAGCAAACAGTGGGGACTTCTGTCACTTGACATCCGCTGGATATTATGAACTCAAATTTCTCTAGGGTGTTCACTACTTACCCCTCAGACTATGTGTATACAGTATGTGGGTTACAATTTGCAGGAAATTAGCAATTTGTCAAGAAGAAATTTATTACCATCACAAGACCATAACCACTGAACGTTAATTTTCGCAACAGAAAAATTTTGACTTGCAGTGGGAGTGCTGAGAATGCACCTGCTTGGTTGATCAAACTGTATGTGAATGCAGTCATGACCCTGACTCCCTTCCATCTAAATTCAAGAAGGCTCTGCAAAAGCATCTGTGTTAACTGGTAACGATTCTGGAAATGCTCATGGCTGTTTTGAGTTAGGGCAAAATTGATGCTAATATAGCATAGTATAGTAAGTGTTGTCAAAATAATGCAGGAGTCTCAGGCCTTTTTGTCTTTTTGTAATGTTGTAATCAATTTTCCTTACAGGTACTACACATGCATTTCCTTACAGGTACTACATGTACATGTGTACCTTTAAGGAGAAATTTGTGGCAAATGTGACAATTTCCCTCAAATGGTGGGGAATGTAAATTTCATAATCCTGTTTTATTACATTTACAAATGAAGGTCCGCCCTGAAAAATAGTACTAAGCCTACTCACGTTATTTATCATGACCTTATTTTGGTTACATTTGGAAGAGTAAATTGGGAGAAAAATGCAACATTCCTTTTTTAATACCTCATGCCAGTCAACCACATCAATGTAAATACATGGTTAAGACTTTAAGTTGATTAATACAAACATGCATGGCGGACTGTATGATCTTTGGCTGTTCTCTGCAATACTCTTACTCCCCCATTAGCTTACAGTATCTTGCCCAATCGAAGATTGGTTTTCTAATGAAACTTTCCAGTAACCAATCAGTGACACCGTCCCAAGGAAGTTTGGCAACTTGATTCTTTTCGGCAGATGCATGCGTGCACTGTCTGTGTCAATGTCATCATTTTTATCCCATATAACTTCCCTCAAAAATCAAAACCCTGCCCTCTTTCTACAACATTACTGTGATTAACCCTCAGTTTAGCAACAGAATGTCACTGTCATCAACTTACATGCGTCTGAAAGCTTAATTCTAATTCTTCCTTCTATACAGGAAAGGGGTCCTGAAATTTACAATCCCCAAATGGTAACCTACATGTACAAACTGAGTAATGAGCATTCTGGAGAAGAGTTAGCTCATAAAACTGCGCAGATGTCATAGAGGTCAAGTGACATGACTTGCTCCCCATTTCCTATATCCCATGTCAGGGCCCAGTATCAATAGAGGAGTATATGAAGGGTCATATTTATGGGTTGGGGGGGAGGGATACGATTGGTAAGACTGTGCAGCCGAAAAGTCGAGTCAAAATTTGTGCAAGATCTCCCTTTTTTCGATTCAGTAGAATTTTAAATATTAACAAATTTTCCCTAAATTTTTAAGAACTTTTTCAATACAAAATCAACATGTTACAGTGGTTCTGGCTGAAACGTGGATTTGTTTTGTTTGATTACTTTTAACGCATATCAGGAAACTTTAGACATGTTTGAAGTGACATAGAACTGGTTGTGCTTAATGGGAACAGGTCAACTTGAACCTTGGACAACTCGTACCATGGACAACTTGTACCATCAACTCAACATAACTGTACCAACTCGTACCTTTACCGAGTCGCACCTTGGACAACTCATACCTCTAGTAAAGACAACTCGTACCTTCGTGTATGAGACAACTCGTACATGTACACGTACCTACACAGAAATCAGAGCCTGCTCAGAGCTTATTATTATCGTAATAAACTTGAATAATAATTCGATTTCTTAGCTGTGGGGTTCTTCTACTAATTTGCTGTTTTGGCTACACTGTCTTCCCTACACACCAGTGGGGTGATATTATGTGAGGCGCATCGACATCGTGTATGTGCACCCGTGGTCAGGCAACTGACACTTGTCAACATGGCCAGCCGTCGTTGCATGCATTTCGGAATCTTCACTGTACAAAAAATGTTAATAAGGAAGTCAAGTTAGTACATGGTCGGGTGGTTCGACATCCATTACATAAACCGACGGCCCCAACACCTGTGGCAGGCACTACACAGAAAATCATGCTGGCACTTGAGATCTCTCTGGGAGATTAATGAAGATTTTTCCTTGAGGTGTTTGTCAAATTATTTGGAAATGGAGACCTACGGGTTACAGTTTTTTAGTACGCTTTTTCATTTCCTAGCATTAGCTGCATGCTTTTCTTTGTCTTGTTTTGCTTTTAGTGTTGGTTTCTTTGTGGTGTTGTTTTATTTGTTGAATAATGCCGAATAAATAATAATAATAAATTTGATCTTAAACTTGCTGAAACATGTGAAAAGGAAGAGCAAGAAAGTTACAACCGAATTGTGAACACGAAGGCACGAGTGGTCTTAACTCAAGGTACGAGTTGTTCAAGGCATGGGTCGTCCAAGGTACAAGTTGACTCGAAAGTGGCTAAACAGATCCACAACTAGGAAAAGTGTCACTTTAGTGATATTGATGCTGAATGTCCTAATTAAAAAAATTAAAATTAGTTTGCACTCTCTCCTGCACACAAACATGCACAAGGTGAACTACTTACATTTCATTGGAACTGAGGATTAGTCATGGAGCTATAAACCTTTTTTTATAGCTCAATAGGTTAATCGAGCTGCAATCAGACATGTCAGATCATGGTGGGAGGATCGGACAAGGCATGATGTCGGCCCTTACATAAATTAGGCCTACATTTGCCTAACGTAACGAGACTGTGTGAATAATTTCGCGATCCGGAACTGGGAAAATGACTGCATTATCGACAGCAAAAAGAAAAATTTACAGAGTGCACTGCATGTTATGAGCATGGACACTAACAATACTCAAAATTTGCACAAATTGTAATTTTCCCCCACCTTTTCTTCACCTGCTTCAACAACCACTTGATCGTGTCGTTCTGTACGTCGGCGAAAAACATCTGGCGAAGTTTT